CATATAATTAAAGGGTTCTAACTTGAGGTATATTCATCTATACTAACTATCTGAATTGTTGGATTATAACATCCTACCCAATAGGTTAATATCCTTATTAAGCATTATACTTATATTATTAGATGGGAGAGTTTCTTATGGCCTATGATCAAAATGGTAATATCCTATTTACCATGGTAATTGAGTAGGTCATCGAGGTTACTATTATAAGGGTGATCACATGTGGAGAGTCATTCTAATTAGGGCAACATAAATATCATTTGTAGCTAATATCAATAATTTTAAACAATATACTACGACCATCACTAGAAAAAGATAAAGAGGAAGAGGTAAAGAGGGAGAGAGGCAACCCTTTAAACATCATATAGATGAGATGGACATGTATCCATTATTAGTAAACTAGCCCAACAATATTCTTCTACGGTGATATTGATTCCATATACTACTTCCATAGAAGTATGATTAGAACATGGGAATATTCCAATTACCATATAATAATAGCTATCTTTGTGGCAATGTTGAGCCTAAAATTATGATAAGCCCTTATTGATCATAGGTCAATCCTATCTCTCTATCTAATCCATGTATGAGACACTAGATTCTATCAATAAGGGTATGCTATAATGGGGTATACCACATTAATTTTTACCCCACATTGGTACGAGTATATTAGTCTTATGGAACTTGACCTATCATTAATAAAAGATAAATAATTAGTCATTTGACAAGTTCCTATAATAGGGAAACTATACTATTTAATTGGTTATAAACTAATCTCACCCTAATTGGTTATCATTAATCAACTCTAGTATGGAGGGTCGGTAATTCATAATTTTATGTACATTGCCGGTTGGGAAATCATTACTAGGGTTTAATTAGTCCTTAATAATAGGATTAGTTTATATTACCATCTAACTATGTATCCTTACTTATAATTCAAATTAAATAGACATCATAATGTGACTTGTCATATAATATTAACCAATACCTTACTCCCTTTATTTTATAGAATATAGCCGTAAAGAAGGGATCTAAAGATGCATAATATTATAAATTGGCCAATAATAGAGGACCCATAGGTTAGATTAAGTAGAGAAAAATTAAGTTTATTATATTACATATATTCTTGATAACATCCAAGAAATAAAAATATTATAGATGCTCTTAAAAGGGAGGATTATTCCACCAAAAGCTTACAATACACCTAAAAATGAATTATAGGGCCATAAAGGTTGATGTTGTACTACACTAGTTCCTTATAGCTAATCAAGAATCTCATAGGGATATTATTGGATTAGTCATACTAGAATTAGTAGCCATGGGTTTGGTTTAGAGATATAACATAATATAGTAGATAATTAGTCAATTTTTCTCTAAGATTGGTTATCCTAGTGTAATGCAACATCTACCTAATGAATAATTTGGCTCCATATATTTTGCGTAATTTTTGGAGATGTTTATTTATCTATCATATAGATGAATAAACCAATATAAAAATGTTTCAGCCAAGGGGTATAGTTTTACTATTTTGATATTATTACTAAGTTAATCTAGTTACCATATATCCCTCTCTCTCCACCCATAATTAAATAAGGTATTAGATATCTAAGGTATCATTGTAAAAGTAACTAAATACTATAATTCCTTATTTGGTCGTAAGGAGACCTAGTATATGCCAATTATGGAATTAGTATAAATGGTATACCACATTTGCTTGAAATTGCCATTACTAATTTAGTTCGTAAAGGTCTTAATATTATAATGTGAGTAATACCCTTACAATCAAATATTATCAACTCGAAAGAGTAGGAGGGAGAGGGAGAGATAATGGAGAGATAGATTGAGAAACTTGGAAAACATATTATAATGGTATTACTCACATTATAATATTAAGTCAATAGTGTAAGTAACTTATATACATATACACATTATCCCTTTGATAATATTTACAAGGAGGCGATCCTTGTTTAATGATATAGAGGGTTAGTTGTTCATATGGAGGATAGACTATTAACACGACTAGAGTTAGTATACCCACTATTTTATCTTCCATAAAAAGAAAGTGATGGTCGATATCAAAATTGGTAAGGGTACATTGTTACCATAAGGTTATTTATACCGTAGCTATGGATTGATTAGTGCCCTAATTATCTCAGGGTGATTAGCTTAGAAATAGGCTATTTAGGGATCCGTACTAATGAATTTCAAGACATCTATGGACGATCATAACCCTAGGTCACTCCTTTCTACCTATATTACTTGTTATGACCCATCTCTTAATGTGATAAAAGGTTTACTCCACTGTAGATGTCTCTCGGGTTTCATTTTCCAATAATGTATGACCAATAATATCTCCTACATGGAATAAGTTTATCACTCTTGTACCTTGTCGAGTCCTTTAACAATAGAAAGGATATCGATGAATAATATCACTCTGAAAACTAATGAGAGTAAACTTATTAACCATAGGATTAAACAATGGCCTTAACTATCAAGGATGTCCTCCTATATTCATTAGCCCTATCGATAAGGTACGCGATATCCATAAACACCTTTTTAATGCATGAGAACTCTCTAAAACTAATCGTTTAGTTTCTTATTCCTTATGAACTCGGTTACTATTTAATAGAATCTCCTACTATACAATAATAGCCCTATTCTTTTCATACAAATATGAAGACTTAATTAGGACAATTGATAGTTTATCCTCCATATGAACAACTAACCTTCTATATCATTAAATAAGGATTTCCTTCTTCTAGATATTATCAAAAGGATAATGTGTATATGTATATAAGTTACTTACATTATTGACATAACATTATAATGTTAGTAATACCATTATAATATGTTTCCATGTTTCTCAACTGTCTCTCCTCTATCTCAACCTGTCTCTCCTCTATCTCTCCCTCTCCCTCTTGCTCTTTCATAGTATTAGAGAGACATTAAATATTAAGGGACTAAGAGAGGGCCAAAAGCAGAAAAATAGCTGCCTCCTTATGACTTTATGATTGATTAATTATGATGAATTAGGACTATAAACACATTCTAATTATTAGACTAAATGGCATAAGAAATATTAATATATCCTTAATAGGTAACCACAAAAGGTATTATTTGAGCATAGAGGTTGGAGCAATATTAGTTCTCCCTCTCTAGAGGAATTCATTATATGACCTACAATGTAAAGAATCCCCATGTACTATTTGAACTAATGATAAGCATACCCTCTATATCAATCAGAATACCACTTATTCCACTACCTTCCCTAATTTTAACAAGTTGATTGGTCAATTAATCATTAGAGTTTACGAGAGTGAAAATAGTATACGAGGATTCAATTGCCCATGAGAAGGGATGACCTATTATATATGATAATAGTCGCACTTTCTCTATATTATAATAGAGGATATTATAGCGAATAGGATTACAACCTTGTTATGAGACCAATTAACCTCTTGTCGAAGGGTATTAAACTCATGGTTGGATAATCCTATTCGCAAACATTTACAAGTTAATCCCATACAAGATTAGCCTATAGTTAGGATAAACTAATTGGGACAAAATGTTTATAATGGAATATATCCAATTTAACAATATACTATAGCCTTGTTCTTGGGTGTCAATGATTAACTATAGGAATTTGTTAATTATAAACTATTAGCCTATTCGCTAGATTATTTTATAATAGAAACAATTAGGGTTAGGACTAGATAGGAGGGAAAGACAGAGTAATCTAAGTATCATAGTACTCTTTTTGCTTCTTTGTGGGTTATGAGATTATGTATAAAATCTCCAAAGGCGGACAAGTTGGTAAATTGTAGAGAGAGAATAATCTATGTACTATTATATTAAGTCTCATCTCTTGAAAGAGAAGGGCAAAAGTTTATATCCGTCGGTAGTATGCCAAGCTATATATTAGTGCCTAATAATATGTTACCTATACATGGTTTTATCTTCAATCTCCCATACACAAGTTCAAGTTATGTATTGTCCTAATTCATGTGAGGCTTATAGGTAAATTCTTCTAAAGGATAATAAACTAATAGGGTTCCAATCTGATTCATGGAAGTAGACAATGGTAGTTTCTCTTAAATAATATATATATGGCTATAGCAATTTATGAGTGATAGCCTAATTTGGATAATTTTACCTATTATTCTCTCCCTTTGTAAAGACTAAGGTATAATTATTATACCAAGTGTCAACTATTCACTCCATTATTCTATATCCATACATCCATTATTTATATCTAGTCTAATATTATTGAATATGACTATATCAATCACCATCAATTAATCAAGGTATCTCCATACTATGGCCACTCAATAGATATATCGGGTTAGATATCTTAACTATGAGATTATCGATAGCAACTTATCCTATATAAATAATCATTAGGGTTTAAAAGAGGCCATAGTATATTTTCATAAATGTCACCTTACAAGGGTGTCTTCTAAAATTTATTATCATACATATATTCCATTTGGTGAATATCTACTTTATTATTTTCAAATATACATGGAGTCCTATTGGGTATTCTTGTGAGAGGAAAGAATCTTATGTTAAATGACATATGATAAGGAAGATAATATGGGGATGTTTATTTATCTGCATTAATGTTTCTAAAATTCATTCGTGGGAGGGAGCCAATATGTGTCTAGTTATAATAAGGAGAGCTTGGGGGAGTCAATATGTTTGGGGCTATTGAGGATTAGCAATTGACCATAATAATTAAGGTAAAGGCTAGTGTTATCCGATAAACAATTATGATAATCCAATAAGAATACCGTACAAATGGTTTCCCCATATTATATTCATATAATATCGATTAATAAGCTATATCAAGTTAGGAATCTACTCCTAAATATTATTAGTGGTGGTACAAATAACTTAGAATGAGTTACCTATAAGACGTTGATCTTATAGGTAGAATTAACTAACTATGGTTCATCGCATGACTAGAATATTAGAGAGATGGATTACCTAACGTAAAAGAAATGGGAGAGGTTGGTATAATCAAGGTAATGATCGATAAATATTACCGATAGAGCCTTATTAGTTAATATGACAACTAATCCTTAGTCACTAAAATCAAATTATTTATCTTTAGGCTACTTGAGTCTATAAGATTATCAAACATATCACCTTAATGGGGTGTATTATGATCCACTTGGCATGCCTCCTATTAATCGGTGAAAGCTATTATATTGTTAGATTATAGTGGGGTTCTCTTACTATGTGATCATCCTATATTTTGATCTCCCATAAACAAATAAGCCAACGTATATAATTATATAACCTAATTTATATAATGGACTATATAACAGTTATGATTAGTAAAGTATCCCATTTAGAATCCATATATAGTTGGCCTCACTTTCTCTTTATATAGGCTAGAGAAATATTAGTATATTAATATTAGGAGAGTGTATCCTAGATGGAAGGAGTGGAATCACCCTATAGATTCCTAGTGCACATAATCAGATTATCCTCCAATTTATAGGCTGATTCCACTCCTTTCATGTAGGATACACTCTCCTAAATCATAAAAGAATACATAAGCCCATGCTCCCTCTAGGAAATTGGTAGCCGGATAAGCCCATATATTCAATAACCATTTAAGAACCGATTCTTAACAACTGTAATGGCCACTTGGCAAATCAATATTATCATATACTCTAGGATATCATTGGGAGTATGTAGCTATTGGCCCAATAATAAGTTTGGGACTTAGAGATGAATAGTCATAAACATTCTCTAACTAATCGAGAGGGGAAAGAGGGAGAATGAGAAAGAGATAGGGGGAAGGATCAAGCCATGTATATCTCCCTTGTAATTATTTACCATCTTGATATATACTCTTTGGTGAAAAGAGTGGGAGCCCTAACTAGGAATATACTAATATTCTTGATCCCTCCCCCTCTCGATTAGTTAGAGAATGTATATGACCCTAGATTAAATGAGAAGATTTTATAGCCTAGCAGAATAATAAGACTACCATCTATGGCTAATAATAAGTCTAGTGTACTATAAGAGGAGGGCTTGAGACGTTATATGTTAACCAATTGACCTATTAACACTCCCTAAGTTATTGATAAATATAAAAGAGTGATATGTTAGAGATATATTATTAGCATGTACCGATAGTAAATCTAATATATTATCATGAATATTATTCACCCATACATGTATCTTTTATATATATATATATATATATATATATCGCATTTATCTAAGATAGGTATATATGGGCCTCTTCCTAGAAATAATTGGAATGGAGAGTTGATCAGCTATCCACTCTTGAATAATCTTGGTGTAATATCACTAGGCTCATACAGAATAATATCAAATGGTATTGGAACATAATTTTAGGTGATAATTAAACATATCTAATAAGAGAGGTATTTAGTGCATATATTTAGTGAGATATGAGCTATTATATCACCTTCCCTATAATATCCAATATATCCAATATAAAAGAGTGATATGTTAGAGACTTATTATTAGCATGTACTCATAATAAATCTAATATATTATCATGAATACTATTCACCCATACATGTATCTTTTATATATATATATCTCGCATTTATCTAAGATAGGTATATATGGGCCTCTTTCTAGAAATAACTGGAATGGAGAGTTAATTCTTGAATAATCTTGGTGTAATATCACTAGGCTTATACAGAATAATATCAAATGGTATTGGAACATAATTTCGGGTGATAATTAAACATATCTAATAAGAGAGGTATTTAGTGCATATATTTAGTGAGATATGGGTTATTATATCACCTTCCTTATATTATCCAAGAAATACACTATTAGGGTAGGTTTATAGGAGAATAATATTATAAGGTGACAAAATTAGATGGAGTTAAAGGGATGGTAGTTGTATCAATATCGGGACCCTATGAGTATGTATTTCTTATTCTCCGATATGTTTTCTTTTTATTCTCCGGGTAAATCATTAGGATAGTTATCGGGATATCATTAATATAAAGTCAATGGATTAACTTATGATCCCTTAAATTAAAATTATTGAAATATTAGTATTTATACCATCTTCCCAATTGGGTAAGGAAGAACATATCGGAGAATATATTAACCAAATTAAACTAACATTAAGAACATTGCATGTACAATAACACCAGGCCGAACAAATATACTTGTACAACCTTATCAAAAGATAGGATTTTATCATTATAATGTTTATACTCTTATCACCATATAATTGTTATTTTAATCACCTCGGAGAGATAATTTAAGGCATACTTATTATGAGTATACTCGTTTCTATAGCTTAGCCAAATAGGCTATTTTTTTTTCTCTTTGGGATAATGTTAGAGGTGATAAGAGAGGTATAATTTAAATTAAAGGTTGATATGTTATAGATCAATCGTATCTACCTTCGAGAGTCTTTCCTTCTATGGTGATAAGTGCAAATAGATTATCCCCAATAGATATATAGAGTACCCAAAATTAGCCGATTAATTATAAAGCAAGTCCCTAGGATAACCCTACTATGTAATTAATCTCCCCCAATTATCATTTATTATCGGAGAGGGAACCCTATCCTCTAATTATCCATGAACATGAAAATCTATTATATTGATTATCAACCAATTTAATATATATTTAATCATGTGATAACCCTTTTTAATCTAACATAAATTAAATAGCATTAGTTAATCATATCACCCAAACTTTTTAATCTAACAATATAATTAAACATCAAAGTTAAATTATATTGTTATAATGGCCTCACCAATATATTAAGTGATTATTGAACTGGATATACTTGATAATATCCTATAATAAAAGTGTAAATTAATATTGTACAGTGGAGTAATCAATATATGAAAATACATGAACATGCATATTTTTGGAGTTGGCCGTCTCCAGCATATTCCTCTACCATATCCCCATGGTAAGCATTTCTCTATTGACACAAATATATCGGATGAGCTCTATAATCTCACTTAACCCCGTTGTATTACTCCAACATTATGCTATGATACGGAGTAACAACCCATACCTTCTAAATATCCACTAAGATTACCAACAACCTAACATATTTATTCTTATCACTCATTAGGAAATACCAATATAATTATATTATTATATAATTATAAATATTGGACTGATATAATTATACTATTGTTCTACCAGAACAAATCACTATTATTGATTTAGTACACAATTATATCCATAATAAATATAAGAAGGCATCGATTATAGGGAGATGATGGTATTTGTAAATATTGGTATTTCCTAATATAGCTAATACCCATTGAATAGATTGGAGTCCAATTAGGAGCAATGAAATACCATCCTAGCATTATTTTAGAGTGGTCATACCATGAAGGCTGATAAATTTACAACCTAGAGCCATTAGGTTATAAATATAATCGGATATTTATTCAAGTATATGAGTTAATACGATCTATTTATAATGAACTCACATACGAGGTTAACTAGTGTTACTCGGGATTCTCTAACCCTAGAGGTTTTATAGCTACTTGGAATTTCTTAGATGGAAAAATCTATCTAATAATTGGACCATCCCTTATAAATCCTCTATTACCAACAATAGTCTCATAAGTTAGGGAGGGAATATATTTTACCTAATCCACCTTTATGGTGTATATGCATGTGAGATAACTATTGGAATTATTTAAGTTGATCTATTCACTCTTCCTTACCATATATTAATAATATGCCAAGATAATCTTACAACATTATAGGAGATGTTCATCCAAATATTAGGGTATCTTTAAAAGCATAAAAGTCAATATAATATGCCATATTATAAATTAACCTATTTGGTCTACAAACTTATAATCTCTATAGAAGAGTGAGGTGACCTTATTAATAAGTACACGAGTTATATCTAAGCTGTATTGTTAATGATTTAAGTGGGTATAATGTGTATTTAACATTTTGCTAGTGTACTCTCCCTAATAAGATTAACATGATGCAAGGGGATATGTATATATCATTAGAATATATTTTTGGTCCTAATGTAATAGGATGTTTAATAGTCAAGTGTAATATAAAGGACGTAAAGGACATAACCGTTAGTATAGAGAGCTTAATTATGGATCATCTCTAGGTCATGAATTTATAGAGTTTGGTGATCAATAATATATCAATACCGTTATGTTGTACATACCCTACTCACGAATCATAATCTATAATTGGTTAACCCTTCCTTTCTCTATTGGGAACTAGATGATTGAATTAAAGAAAAAATATATTAATGTCATAGGAATCTGAGAATGGGCTCGGTATTAAGAGTTAGTGCCCATGGACTAAACTTGAATTATTCTAGATTTATACTAATTATACTAATTACCCGATATAATTTAGGTAATTATGATACACAATCTGTTTGCACTTATCGATCGGTTCAATCGGTATCTTAAACCCTTCTCAAAACATAACTAATCGACTAGGGAAATCCCAATTATAGTTCCAATATTGCAATATAGTATATCAAGTTTAGTCCTACAATATCTTTATTTAGTGGCCTAAGATTATTCTCTCTTGTTCCTATTACCTCCATCTATCTCTCCTTTAGAGTGAATGATCAAAATTTCCATCAATATAGATGATTTATAAGGATGATAATCACTTTTGTACTTATTATAGCTCCCTCTTATATCAATAGTTAATCTCTCTTTTATAATACAAGTCCATATGGACACGCATATACATATCCTATAATAGTATGTTTTATTCTCTTAGTTGTTATGGAGAATAAAGATATATTCCAACTACCATAGATTACGCCTAAAGGTGATTTATACTCACAGATGGTATATAACTCCTACCAATATAATATCAACTCACTTATTATAATACTATTTATGAGGGAGAGAGACTTTCGTATGAGTTTATGGTCTATTCTTATAACTAATGATGATAAATTATTAGTGGTTGAAGAATCCTATCATTCACACGCATTTTAGTTAGTATGGGGACTCATCTATATTATAGTAAAAACTTAATGGTCCATCAACTGGTGCTCATCTCGGTTCCTAGTGGCCTCCTTCATACATTCTAAAGGTGCTAATTAGTATAAATGATATAAAATTAGGCGTAATATACATTATGAAAGGATTCTTTCCTTCTATAAATATAATGGAAGTATGATTAATATAGTCTATTGATTTATACATAATACTATTTTTCCACATGTATCATCATGAAGAATTAAACTAGTAGTCATTCTCCCAATTTGACAATAGGAAACTCTTATCCTATTCATAATTGCCTAATTGATAATACATGTTTTGGGCTAATTTTTAGCAGGCTCTCGAATGTGTATTTCAAATCACTTTAGGTACTATTTACACTTAAGGGTAATCTCCCATTCTAATGGTTTAGGAAAATTTGGAGAAGACATGGATATAACTAAGATCAATATTTGTTCATATTCCATTTGCAATCACATTTCTCCTACATGGAGACGACTTTACCGCAGTACCTACTCGTCAAAAGTAGGTTTAATTCTCTCTCTAGAAATAGATTAATTCAACCTTTTGGGGAAATAGGACTCCATCAAGCTAAAATGGATTATCCGTTTTTCCCCTTAAAATAATTCAACACCCTTTGTGAATTATTGGTTTAGCCATAATGTATTACCGATTAAACTATAACTTCAATAGATATATAAAGTAACGGAATTGTGCTCAATATTCTATTTTACCTCCATAGTTAATAATAAAAATCGTGCTCTCCCATGTATTTCATTTACAAAAGGGATTATTGAAATACCAGTTAAATAATTGGCCCTCTTATTAAGTTGGAGCTATCATGACATTGATTATACCTAAAATAGCCATAAACCATTATTAGCCTCTCAAATTTTATTGTGCATTAATCTATTGGTTAGACTCTACATCTGTGGAATTATTACATAAATGGCAGTCACCTATCGCCTAAATTAGCTAATTTATAACTAGTCATAAGGAAAATTTAAGGTTAATGGTATAGTCTCGAGCCTATCTATTCTAATCGAGTCTCATGGGAAAACTATATATTCAAAGGAACTGAGTATTAAATAATATAACCCATAAACTGGTATGATGCAAAATAAGATTATAAATTAGCAATGAAACGGATTGAGAATTATCCAATTAAATACTATAAGGTTGATGGAAAAAAATACATCTTAGAACTATTTTTATTATAGTTGGGATAGTTTTGGCCTATTAGGGATAGAGAGAGGGTAATGCATTCCATTGGTAACTATTGGTTAATACCATACTGTTGATCAATTAGATAGATCATGACAAAGAGATTATTAACATAATGATTTATAGGACAATATCTCCCTTATATGGAGGAGTCGATATTCAGACTTATCCAAAATTTAGGTACTATGTCCTATTCTATATATGGAATCATGCCTAGAATCTATAGTCAATTCAAGTTGAAAGTATTCATTATATATCTTCCCTCTATTATGTGTTCAACATGTGAGAGGGATAAACAATTAAGACTAGGGAGCATGGGTTTGGACCAGGGAGAAATCATCTATAATTATAACTTCAGTATTATTTTATAATGGTTATCCCTCTCTCTCTGTCTCTATCTCCTCCTATATGCCTATCTCTCTCCCTCTCTCTCCTTCTTAGGGATCTCCTTATACTATATGGTGAAAACTATCTTGATAACCATATTAAATTAATTGATATAGACACCCAATAAAGGAGGAGAGAGATAGAAAAGGGTATCTATATTATCTCAATATATGATAATTTATATAACATATAGTTATAATTTATTAACATATTGATGAGTTAAATGTATAATAGTATTAAGCTACCTATTACTTATATGAAACTCTTGGCTATAATGGTAAACACATTCATACACTCAAAGAGATTATCAACAAGAATGGTATATGGTAGTCATGGATATGTTAACTCTGCTATTTTCACCATCTCTCCCATTTAGTTTACCATTATGGACCAATTTTTTTAATTATAAGTCAAATTACTCATTTATTGTAGAGATATATAGGGTATGCTTGTTGTCTCTCCATTTAATAAGGGACCATAATATCTCTTCCAATTTCATCTAATACAAGAGTATACTTCCCTCGGAGGATATTTCCCTCACCTACAAAAATAGCCCACACTCGTGAGGTAGGATAATAGGATGGTATACTCCCTTTTGTAAGGGAATATTACAAAGGGAAATCTTATATATATGGCCCAGATGATCTATTAATTGTGGTCATTATACTTTTCAGCTGAAATATATATTTTTTGATACCCTAACTTAGTATTACTTATTCGGATCTTTACTCATTATTATTTAAGTAATTATCACTAGAAACTTGCGTGATTAGACCAGCATTTACCCTCTCTCGCTTATATAATTTGATGACTCCTCGAAGTTAGCTTGTATACGACATCAAATGATAAACCTCTGTTATATATTTCTCTTAATTCAATATAGTGAAAGGAGATGCATCTCTCCCTCTTTCCATCCCTCTAAAAATCATAGATAGACCATTATTAATTAATAACGGAACTAAGTACGGTATAAATTCACTAACATCACACTCGCCTAAGATGTTCCTCCCTTATAGTATATTTATACATGCTCAGTAAATATACCATGATAGTAGAATGGAAGTAAAATAATAGGAATATTAAGATGGGTTATTCATTTATTAATAAATTACATGTTTGAATACAACGTGAATCAATATGATCTAAAATAATATAAAATTACTATAATATTATTCAAATATAATAAGATATTAACTATCAAGATGGATATTTGAGAGATTAAACCTCTTGCTTATCTGGTTAATCACAAAATAACCATTCCTACCTAATTAATTACCAAGGAGAGAGTTCTAAGGGATGTGCTTAGGAATCGGATATATGTATGTCGAGCTAATGTGATATATATACCTCTATGGCCTAAAAAGGATCGAATTGGAATATTCTCCCTCTCTCTCACTAGATTAGAAGGCCGTAAAACATAGGTTTGATTACCTCCCTAGATTATTTATTTTCCTTATTATTAGAGTGAATCTAATAGTATACTATATTTTTCCCTAGGGCTAATATCATAAGCATTGAATGATATTATGGACATCGTCTCCCTCATTTCATGGAGTTCACCCTCATTAACTACCTTCAAACTTAAATAATACATGGTTATATTTTAGTTATGTAAAGGGAATATTATGGTATATTATGATTAAGTCTATCATGGGCCCAATTGTTAGGGAAAGGTAAAAGTGTATCCAAAAGTAGATATATACTAGTATGAAATTTTATATCCTTGATATGAATAGTGACTAAAGTTATGTTAAGTCTTCCCATCACAAAGTACTATAAGTAAATAAAGTGATGGGCATTAGAAAGCTGAATTTTAGTGTATTTGGTTTACTCTCACAAAAAAATAGATAATACTATTTTCACTCTTGCCTCTATTAGGGGCATACTATATTCGAGCGATAACATTTAGATTGATTAAATCAGCATGGCTATATAGCCTAACAAATAGTTCTAGCGAAAAAGGTCATATTGTTAGATCATTTTAGAGAGAAGCATGTAGGATCTACAGGGTGTTTGGTTCAAAATCTGATTTGGAATATTATGAGTGAATGCTTCGACAATTCCAAAGAATAAATATTAGGCCAAGCTATCTCTATATACCATCATATACTTTATAAGATGACTCAATATCATTAACGATTGATGTTGAATTATTTTGATAAACCAATAATTATGATGTAAGCTGTGGAACAATTATTAAGTGAGATGTGCAATAAAGGTTGATCGTTAACGATATTGAGTCATCCTATAAAGTATTTGCAACTTACCTATATGATTTTGATAATATATATAGTCATAATAGAAGGGACATATCATATATGTCCAGAATAAGCATTATAGGGTTATTTAGGGATATTATTAAAGAGAAGCTATTTGAGTTAGGTCAAATAGCAAGCTCAAATGTTAGGTAAACTTCTCCCCTAGAAAATTGCACCAAATGTAGTATATTAATCGATGGAATCTAATTGAGGTCCTCTTATCTAAGGTAATTTTCGTACTCCAGCCTATAGATACTTTTCCCATGTTCTATCATATACCTATTATTCTTCCTTCCAATGTTTTGGTATAATCTATATCTCCGATATGAGATTTCCATTTGATTTAGGCTTAAATCCACTAATTATTGACTATATACACATACAACATATATATGGTGCTATCCCTAATAATATATAGTATATTTATCATATTTGGTCTATATAATGAGGTTGATATTATTTTAAGTAGAATAATAGTCATGGATAATATACCCTATATATTATAACAAAGTGGTAAATATAAATGGGTTATCTAATATATAGATGTTGCTATATAGGATTGATGGTTCTCTATATTTTTATTACATACCTCACCTCTATTTATGACTATTTTTATATGGGTGAATTTAGTCTAATGGTACTCTTTAGTTTGAAGTACACATATTTCTATACAATTTAGTTAATATCCCCTATTGGTTTGTAAATATATGAATAGTATATTCTATAAAAGTAGTCATAAATCTCTAATTATCTAAATAATTAGTGCCTATCTTATAACACTATTGGCTTAATCACTAATATATATAAGGATTTCCTATGTTTCAATGTAATCGATTTGATCCACTTTATGAAGGGTAATAGAGTAAAAATGGCCCTAAACCCCTATTCATGAGGGATACGGGCTAGGTTCGTCTTAAGGTCATCCTTTTATGAATAGATTATCAATATTAAATATGCCCAGTTTGGGCCCTAACTATTTACCCGTATACTAATAACTTTAAATATGAGTGTTAATATATTCCTGTGAGGATTGAATTCTATAATTAACTTTGTCCCTCATTACCAACTCATATAGATTATAATGAGTAGACCTAATAGGCAATAACCATTGTGGAAATAGCCAAGAGTTGTTACCATCGGAATGTCACTAGAAGAGAATAGTAAAAAAATACCCATTCTATAATTTGGTATAATTATCTTATGGTCATAAAATATAATAGGGTATTATAATACATTACTATTTTGTGATGTAACTCTATATAGGCATTAGCCCTATCTCTTAGATGCAAGTATGAGTAAGAATATTGTATCGAATATTGTATCGAGGATATTATCAAACATAATGTTCCATAATATCTAACATAGTGGATGAGAACTAAATACTATAAAACTTAATAGTAATGCTAACAAGCTTAATGATAAACGAGTGTTGGTGTATTGAGGAGGGTAACCCTTGACCTAAATATGTTCACAGTGACATAATATACCCTAATATAGTAAAGTTATCCAGAGAAGTTTACGATATTACAAAGTTATTAATAGATAAAATAATATCAAGGATTTGGAAAATACCTTGTGATAAAATATAAGTGCATGAATATAAATTATTAAACTAGAATTTTTGTTATCATCCTTAATTCTTACTTAATATTGATAATATCTATTTGAGTGGCTTTGTATTCCAGTTCTCAAATCACTCTTTGAATAAAACAAGGAGAGAGTTTGATAATAGGATAATGTGTAGTTACTATCTATCCATGTATATGAGATATTATTATCAGATATATTTTGACGTCTCCTTTTAGGATATTAATAATTTGGTAACTCATGAGAGAATAAGTAGAGCAACATTTCTAATGTTTGTGTATTAAAAAGTGAATAACCACGGGATATAATAGTATGAGGAGAGGGAGAAGGAGATGAAGAAATTAAGGGACGTCTAGGCCCTCCTATTTATATTAGAGTAGAGTTGAGGGAAATAACTATTATTTAGGCAATTATTTGATATGATTAAGATATGAATTTTATCCCATCTCCCTTGTTATGACCCGATCTATTTATTCACCTACACTCTAACATATATCCGGAGTATATACTTTTATTCGACTAGCCCTTACGTTAAAATTATAATTTAAAATAGAGAGGTATAATTTGGGGATTGATATCAACCCACCCTATAGATAGCTCTTAAATGATAGACCACAAGGGTGTCTAAAGTTATCATGGAACAAAATGACAAGGACAAAGGGACCAATAATTATATATTATTTGTGTCCATATCAACTAACCCCTCTAACATATTGATATAATTGAGGGAATTACACGATGTTTTTTATGATTACCTTAAACACTCCCTATTTGGAATGATCTGATTTTTTCCTATTATCATATCAATAATAATATTGATTTCTCTATCTCTCTCTCCTCTCCAATTATATCACCAAAATTATTATAGGGCTTCTTTCTTTAAATAGGCAACCACAATGCCCATAACTGAAGTACCAGGTAGTATAACTATTATGATCTCACAAATTGAGATCCAATAGTGGCCTCTAATGCTACGTATAATACATGGTATAGTATTCCTCACGAATGTAACCTTCTACATTTGTATACCTTATAATTTATAAGAAAAGTAGACATATATAAAGATACAACAATCATTGCTAAGTACAAGAGCTCGGGTGGGATGATAATCAAATGTAGAAGGTTACATTCGTGAGGCAAACTATACCATATAAGGAAACTTGATAGGATTAATTGTATATTTGTTACTCAATAAGCAATACGATTCGATTAGATCCCTTACAAATTATCCTTCATTAGCCATGAATTTTCACTAGAATTCCATTAGTAGGGAACGATCCCTATTGCAACTCTAATATCCCCCTTACATTATTCCTCTAGTTTATAATCAATAGATCAAGAATAGGTTAATTAGATATATTGGATTAGCTCTCTATTTCATGTTTTCTTACTACTTACGTAAAGTCATTAACTTGTAGTGTCTTTAAGCATTTAGCCATGATGGTTAATAGATTAATATTCCAATAATAGGAAGTTTATTAGTTAAGGGTTCATTCTACTATAACCTTAACTAAAATAGGAATTATAGTAATTAGTTAAGGCTGATCCCCTCTATTGCCAAAATCTTTGTTGTATAATAGTTAGGGGGTCCTAATTTCATAAGAGGACATATTGTTATTGATGTGTCTCCCCTTAAAATATTATAAGACATGGACCTATAAAGACCCTCTATATATAATGTCTTATATCTCTTATTATGGCCTGATTCTCCAAGTTAATATCAAGGGTATAACCTTTAGGAAATAAACTAAGGATGGACCTAATTGCATCTAAGTTAGGACACATCTTATTATGCTAATTATAGTGATAAGTACTCGCATGATTTGAAGGTCGATTGATATTATATGTTTTTAGTGTTGTAAATCTATTATTGAATAGGCTACATGGGTTCTAATATCACCTAAGGGAGATATGTTTATTGAGTAAAGAAATGCATACCATAAATACCTTATGGTGAGATATCCATCCTTAATATGCCCGAGTAAACCTAGTGCATAATAAACTTATTAGGGTAATGTAGTAAAACTATACTTGGGTTAAAGAGACCTAGGATTGATATAATAATCACAAACGGTATATATGGTAACAAGGAGCCACGATGTTTGTTCCAATTACCACTACACTAGTGATAATATTAGTGCCCATGTTAGAGAGGGATACAAATCCTTGGACTATTGTTATTCTCCCATAGAGAATAAGCCTATCACAAGTCATGGAATATAACTCCAATTACTAAATTACATGTGATTTAATCATATTATCCCTCTATATGTTTCACAAACGATTACCTCCCACTTTTATCCAAGTTAGATCATTAGAGTTGAAATCTATATTAACATAAATAATATTCCTTTGAAATTAAGTAGGTGTATCCCTCTCTAACATCCTATATTAAATCCATCGATATGCATTATTGATAATACAATAATATTAGGATGAAAACCATCTTTATTTAATAAAGGTAGGTTTACCTTATATTATATCCGAGGCAACCGATGGTATTCTTAGGCTATCCCTAGGCATACCGTCGGTTGCCTCTGCTATAATATAGTTATCAAGGGTTATAACCATGAAAGAAATGGGTAATTTATATTGAATTGAGGAAAGATATGAAAAGTATAATTTTATGATTAATGGATAAATCCTTTAACAATATACTTTTCTCTAGTGTCATTATTTTTTGATAGACCATCAAGAGGAGTATTCTAGTTTACTAATATTCTCTATGTTGGTTGTCCTCATGTCAACTTGTTGGGAAACCAGGATGATTATCCACTCGTTAAGGATAATGATCAATAAAAGCATATTGACCGAAAGGGTCCTCTATGGATTATAGCCATAAGATTATTTTAGGTCGATAATATTATAAATCCTTGTTATAGTTAACCATTTATACATTTTATTAATAGTCACCCCTCTCCCCCTTTTCCTAGTTACATAACCTAGAGATACCTTAACTATCTTGGGTTATGTAACTAGGAAAATATTACAAAAATGGGGGAGAGGGGTAGGTATAAAAGGGGGAGAATGACCTAAAAGCTTAATAAGTACTAATGGGTGAAATAGCCTTTATGATATCACCCATTCAAAAGGTTTCATTATCATCATGAAACATATAGAGGTTATTTATCAAATATCCTTGTGTTAAAATCAATATGGTGTAAATCGAGTGGCATACCCCATTACTCTAAAATGGTAAATATAGCTATCAAATATATAGCTATTATTACAATAAGAATTGGTTGACTTGGTCATTCTATCAATAGTTTTCAAAAGGGATATTATAGTTGTTCAATCCTAAGTGGTAATTCCTACAATTTAATCCAATATTTTTTTTGCATAAATAGTATACTTAATAAATCAGTTATCATAATTGTTAGTAAGAACTCTTATGTCATCTAACAATATATTTTTCAATATTATGCCTAAACTAGGTTTGTGATAGGGCCATAAAAGTAGTCACTCCATTAATAAGTGTCCAATGAAGGATACTCGTGGAAAAGTTATTCACTCAAGTTATTCTCTATAAGGCACCTAGACTTAGAGTTATTCCATATCTTAGCCTAGGGATATGGTAACTAAACTAAGAGTCTATATTTTCCACAAAAGGACTATATATTAATTACCATATACATAGTGGTTGAACATTATGACAAATATCTCCTTGATTCATTTATAAGGTATCTTACACATTATAAATTTTTTATGTACACTTAATAGATGGTTATCTCGTCCGCCCCTAATCCATAGTAATAACCCTTGTACATAATCCGACTATATAATTTTATAGGGATATTCTTTTTCATTGTTATCTAAGTGGAGGCTCCCTCTCATGTTACCTATCCTATGAATTCATTAGGATATCACAGCATTATTATGACTATTAATTGAGTCTCATATTGGGATTGATTATTCCTTATTAATTAAGTATTGGTTTGTACTAAATGTAATCAAACTATTATAATGGGTTGAACTATTTTAGATTTGATGAGAATTACTTCTAATTGGAAATAAATAGTATATTTAAGCAATAGAAGGGCTATTACCCCTAATAACAATAATAGGTCTTTTTTATAATAAAAATAGACCCCTAAAAGGTATTTAGGCAAACTCATAAACGGAAGTATATTTATCCAAGATTAAAATCCATAAATGAGTGATGTTCATCTAGCTATGATAAAATAGGTAATAGATGATGATATAGTAATATCCATTATAATTACACCTAACCACTATAATGGGATTATCAATTTGGTTATTCACTAGGGGTTATCTTGCTTAGTCCCATTCAACCTAATAGTAAATCTTTAAGAGTAACTTAAATCATCGATTGTCATCAACTATGTTTTCTAATTTATCCTCATATGCATAGAGTAACCCCATTTTATTAATGCCATCATATAATTAATATATTCTTAAAAATTGACTATTAGGTTGATTAGTAATGGAGACAATATCAAACTTAATGTTGTCACTAGTGTATAATAGTATTTTAAGACCTCTTTATAGATTAATGAACCAAATTTGATTATTATTCCATATTTCAATATAGAGGGATATAAATAAACGATATGGGAACCCATTGAGAGACTATAATTAGGGGCCATAGTAGGCTATAATACAAGTCGAGAATATGGATTACCAATCATCCTAGATTGGCCGATTAATGTTTGCTTATTGAAAGATGGTAGTTTATAAGGGTAATGACCTCTATTATATCACCATAATAAAGTTAACCATTAAAATATCAATCCTACTCAAGGTAAAGGTTGGTAAATAGAAATTGTGACAATAATGGCCCACTCTATCTTAATAACTTATCCTTTATTCGGGATTATGATAAAGATGTTATAATTCTAGTATAACATAATATAGTAGATTGTTTAGATAGCTTATCGGATAGGCGAGTGTAAATTACTATATGGATACATACATAGGAGGGGTGTATCAACTTAATAGATTGAGTGCTCTAGGAGAGCCCGCAATAGATGTTCTATAATTATTACCTATTTATAGGGTATACTCTAACTAAGAAAAGACCCTAATAAGAGTAGTACGATATGAATTTTATCCTAATCGTATGTACAACGTGAATTTACACCGATTCTATATTTTATACTTATCATCTAAAATTTCAATACTACTCTTATTTGGTTTATAATGGTGAACTTGCCCTCTATTACCAATAAGATTTACCAATTATGTTCCATCTCCCTATAGTAAATACCTTAAACATTGATCATGAAGAGAGGCAAATATTATCAAAATTGCTTAGGGTATTAATTATCTAAGTAAGGTAATTCATGTCAAGGGTATTAATTTAACTCGCTCCTTTTATAATATATAGAAAGTATCAATAGTGGCCTATTTGGTCTATAAACTTTTTATATCTATAGAAGAGTGAGGTGACCTTATTAATTATTGATAACCAATTATTGTAAGATTATCTTGGATATTCTTACTCTATAAGGGTATTTTACCTTATACTTGGAATATTCTATATTGATAACTCAATTATATAAGAGATAGTGAATCAACAAGTGGATAGCCGACGAGAGGAACAATCTTGATCTAAAGATAGGTATGAAATATTTCTTATGGGCACACCCTTCCTACTTGACAATAGAGAGGTTATTTATTCCTTATCTAATGGATCGTCATTTTCTAAGGGCTATTTTTAGGATATCATTACTAGTGAATTCAGCCTAATAAAGAAATTTACAACCTATAGACCATGATTTTTCTCCTATTAATATTAGGGGATAATTATCCATAAAAAGAAAGTAGATCAAGAGGGCACGACGGATTCAATATAGTAATCCCGGTGATACTTATAAAAAAATCTTCAACTTTACTTCTAAATATAAATGATTTGATATAGAAGAGATATACTTTTATCTAATTTTGCATATACATGT